TTTCCAAAAGTGGGCAGAGCCAAGGCAAAAGAGTAGGTTGGATACTACTATGAATAATAATAATAATAATAATAATAATAATAATAATAATAATAATAATAATAATATCAGTACCAATAGAAGAGAATATGTGTAGCTCATGATTCTACTGTGGAGTCCTTGGGGTTCTCTGAGCTTGGTTGTCTTCTTGCAAACGTTTTGTTATCCGCCTAGATAACATCTTCAATGTTGAAGATGTTGCCTAGCTGGGTAATGAAACGTTTGCAACAAGACAACCAAGCTCAGAGAACCCCAAGGACTCCACAATACGATCAGTCTCTATGCATTTAATAATATTTTATGATAAATTTGGTAAATGTTTTGGGGATCCCACCCGAAGCTTGGGAGGGTAAATGTGGCTACCCGTGCTGTGCAGCCACAAAGCGTAGAGACTCCACCTCTAACCGTTAAATCCAGAATCTAAAAAATTACATCAGTAATTTGTTACAAAACTTCTACCTCTTCTACTTCTTTCTCACACACACAATGAATCAAGTTAAAGAAATCTCATAAAGCAAGAATGAAATCATGCATTCATTAAAACATTCATGCAATCTCTCATGCTTCAATAGATCGTATTTCTCTGACACAAGTTAATTGGCTATCCTAACAAGTACATTGTAAAAGAAGAGTTTACAATTACTCACCTCTCCAAAACCACCTTTTCCTAATACCCTGTATTGCCTAAATGTGTTTTTCGTCACTGGTTGTCTGAAATGATAAAGTTGGAATAGGGAAAAAGAGATGTTTTAATATTTTTTTTTAAGGTTCAGTTTAAAAGAAACTGCTAAGGCATGGCAAGCAAACTCATAGCGCCCATCCCTAGCATTGCAAAATGTTAACTTTTTCAAGCTGCTTCTCTCTCCTTGTTTTAATGATTTAGTTGCTTGTTTTTCTAAAGTTGAAACACAGGTTGAGTATTTCAGAGCCCCATTGCCCTTCATTTCCCACAAATCCATAAATTCCTGGTTAAAGATGACCTGGCGTAGGAGATGACTGTTTTTCAATGACACCTAACCGTCCTCCTTTCTCATCTGGTTGTAGGATGTATGGGGGAGAAGGGGCGGCTCCTACAGTCATTTTTTTTTAAACAGGAAAACGTTATATATTCTTGATACTTTACAATCCCATAATTAAAAAACTACATTAGTCTTGCACCATACAAGCTCATAATTACCCATAGGAGAATATTTAAATTGTCATTACTTTGTTTCCTATCACAATTCATCCACCAGGGTGTGATATGCTAATATACTGACATGAGCTACAGATATCAATGATATCATCAGCAACGTAACCGATCATATATTTTTATTTGGGCTGGAGTAGGGGGTAGAATAAAGCATCCGATAATAGAAAAGGTGAGACAAACTCCAGGCTGAAATATCTGATGTGGGAATATTCAAACTTAGGAAACCTTGGCACTGAAGAAAATTCAGGCTAATATGGCCAGTTCCTGGTTTTGGGCTTCGTCTTGACATCTAACTGGCCAAGAATTCTGGATGACAATCACCTTTAGACTGATCCAACAGTCCAATTTTTATGTTCTTAACTAACAGATTGTCTAAAAGATGAATTCAGAATAATTTGTAAATAAATTCATTACTAGCGCAACCTTCCTTCACTTCATGTTGAATTTTAGCTGCACAATCCCTCAGCCGTTTGATATCTGTTCTATCTGGTCACTGACTGAAATAAATATTATCTATTATCTATCTACCTCAGCCACCTTGGCCATTATGTTGGACTTCACGTTTCTTAATTTCATTCAGCCTGGCTACTGAGCTATCTGAATGTGGATTAAGAAGTTTGATCTGGAGGACAGCAGATTGGGAAAGGTTGTACTAAAACATTCTCTTCCTATTCTTTTTCATGCTCCATATGTTCCACAGTATTTGAAAGCTGTACTGCACCCACCTGTGGTGCCACTTACCTTTCTAGCCATTTCCATTGGAGAAATCTGCCAAAATACATGCTTTCTGAGTATTCTTGAAAAGGTACTCCGCTTAGGTACTCATGAACAGACCTATCTCAGATGAAAAAGAAAGAAATACTTGACAAGCTTGCCTCTGAGCCTAGATAAGTGCCCCAGTTCCTTTGCAGACAGGATGCTTAGTTTTAAATTTAGTATCTTAGGGATAGTGTGTTATTTTTTGTCCAGTAACTTTTATATTTCTTTTTTATCTAATCCCGTTCTATTTTTTTCTTATGGTTGCCCATCCAGCTAAATATGGTAATGCACGGTCACAACATATAAGATACAGTCCAGGCAATATCAGGTTGTTGTTAAGGCCATGAATAATTATTAAGTCCTTTTAAATCAAAGAGGAAAACGAGAGCAGGAAAATTAAAAGATGAAAGTATAATTACTGAATGAAATCTGATAAATTTCACAAGTACCTCTGTAAACCATCCAAGAACAACAAAAACACCTGCTGGAGACAACACGCTTTTAATGATCTCTCTCTTTTGATATTTTTCTTCTGTTGAGGCCTGGCAAATATCTTGGCAAATAAAAGGACCAGTGTTTCTAGATGCAAATATTTGTACATGGAGCTTCAGAGTACAATAAAAAGAAAGTCCTAACTTTGCAAAACTGATAAGCCCTTTTTTTGGACAAAAGGATGACACAACAAAAATAGTCCTCCTATTTCAGGTGTCCTAGACAAAGAGTGTTTTGAAACATATGCATGTTCTTTTGTCCATGTGGATTCTGCAACCTAATTTTTTTAAAAAAATGAAATGGGTGATGAAGAGGAGTGACAGCGAAACAGAAAATGTCTTTTGCTTCATGCACAAAAGAAATGCATTGTGACTTGGAAGTTCAGTCAAAATACTCTGACTAGGTCACAATTCAGAGGAACATAAACCCCCACCATCTTGGTTGTTATGGTTTCAATTGAGACAAAATCTGGAGGGAATCAACTTAGCACCTTCCTTCAGCTCGACTGCTGTGCCTGCATTCAACCCCGGCATCCCACCAGGCCCACCAGCCTCTCCCAGTCTTCACCTTCTTCTCCCTCACCTGCTCTCCTTCACCGTGCACCACTGGCCTTTCCTTTTCTCTGTCATCTTCCACCCTGGAACATCCCTGCCCAGAGCATACATATCTCAGGTGGATGTCCAGACAAAACATACATTTTGGTCTGGACATGAATCATCCAAAACTAGCTATTTCAGTCTGTGCATGGAAGGTTTTGCATATCCCTAATGTTAAATTATAATGATCAGATTTTTATTGAGAACTTATTTGTAAAAAAATCTTATGGAATTCAACCACAAAATAATATGATCTTTGAATGCCAGAGTGTACTTACTTCACACAGGGTGAGAACAGCTCTTTACAGGGGCTGTTTTCAAGTTTTTCTTTTGTCTGCTGTACAAGATCTTGACTGACTTCTGCTACATAAACTCGAGACTATGAAAAAGCAGAGAGAATCATCAGTACATTAGCCTTGTAGCAGGAGAAAGCATTTCCTTGATAATCAAGGACGTTTAGGCACCAACAGATAAGAAAATATACCAAAAATTATCTTTAAATTTATTTATTATTGAGACTTCTATGCTGCTTCAATCTAACAATTCTACTGAGGTTATAGGAGAATATACATTAGTAATAAAAATATTCCAAAAATACACAAACATATCAACAAGTAACAGAAATATACAATAACCATATTCCACCCAGCATCCTTTTCTCACAACCCAGAAAAAAAATATTCTCATAATTAAGCATGCATCTCTTCTGTTCCTGAAAACTCTGTGAGAAAAAATCAGGATTTAAGTTTGGTTTGAAGTGTTGTGAGGGATGGGTCCAACCTTCAAGGGAACAAAGGCTTCCAAAAGAGGGGAGTGCTTGCTCCAATGCCAGTCCTGTTATATCTCCCAGTGGGTGGGGAATCTTAGCATGCCTCTCTACTAGCACATAATGGCAGGCAGATTCTACCTGGGAAGATGATCTTGTAGGCCCCAAGCCATATAGTGTTTATAAGTAATAGCCAGGACCTTGACCCACATCTGGCAACCAATGCATTCCCACAACAGAGATGTTATGTGACTATTTTGGATCTTATTGCATGTCGTATTAATTGAAGTTTCCATATGGTTACATTGGTCCCCCTGTGAGATGACAAGGGCATAAATGACCATTGCCAATGTCTCCCATTCCAGAAAGGCTATAGGTGAAGTTGGGAAAAGGCAGTCCTGGGCACAGCTTCTACAGTTTAAGCAGTAGCTGTAAGTCCAAGGGTATCTCCAGATTTTGAGCCTGCTGTTTCAACAGAAGCATGACCACATCCAAAGCCAAAATTGGAATTGTCCTGCAATTAGCCAGCTTTTGAATCAACAGCTTGGAATTAAGCCTGACCCTAACCCTAACAGCCTCCAGACACCAGGTCTCAAGAACTCCCACCTCATTTCCTGTTTGGCCTAGGTAAACAACTGTATATCTTCAGTATATTGATGATATCTCTTCCTGCAGCTTCATGCAGATGTTAAACAAAATGGCTGAGCCCTGGGATACGCTTTACAATCACCAACTGGAATTGCCCACTCAAGAGTGGAACCACAGTGCCCCTATTTCCAGCCCTTGGAATGTAGAACAATATTATTATTGATGGTATCAGAGTCCCCTGAGAGATAAGGCAGGCCAACAGATCACATTCTCCAATCCAAGTTCTACCATAAGTCACCTACAAGAGTCACCAATGCAGTTTTCATTCCATGCCCTGGCAGAAATCTTAACTGAAAAGGATCCAGATAATCTGCTTCTTCCATAATCTTTTGTAGCTACTATCCAACCACTTCTCAACAACCTTCCCTGAGAAAGGCAAGTTGGAGATAGAGCAATAGTTGTCAGCATGACTGGTGCTAGGAATAGCCTTTTGATGAGAGAGTGTGCCAGTGCCTTGGAAAGAGGTACCCAGCAATTTATCCCTTCTCTGGCAGCTTAAACCAACCATGGAGCAAAAAACCAACAAAAGTCACTTCAGAAAGGACTCTATCCACTTCCTCAAAAGCCACAGGCTCAAATACATCCCAGATGATATTACAAAATGTCGCTCCTATCAACTTTTCTGACTCCTTCCATTCAGGTTTTAGTTCCAAGAAAATGTGGCTGATGATTGTAAGTTTTATTTTACAGAAGTATGTCTTAGCATCTAATAGAAACTCATGAAAAATCCCTTGGAAAAAAATGATCTTATTTGCAAAGATTTTTTTTTCAGACTGAGGTCTGCACCAGGCCTTTCAGTGATCTGCTGGAGTCTGCAGTCCAAAAATTAAACCAAATAAAATTATTCAGTTATTGTCGATCCATATCGAGCTTTCCCCTATTAATATATTATGCATTAATTTATGCAGGTAATTTATTATGTTGTTAGTTGAAGCACGATTAATAGATGAATACGGTACAGGGAAAGTATCACTTTATTCTGCACTGGCAATACTGCAACTGGACTACTGTGGCCAGCTCTGGTTGCCACAGTACTAAAAGGATGCTGAGGAAGTGGAAAGAGCGCAGAGAAAAGCAACAAAGTTGATAAAGGGCTTGGAGGCTAAATCCTACAAAGCATGGTTAAAGCTTTACAGTGAGAGATCCAAACTTGAGATAAGGAGAAATTTCCTGACTGTGAGGCCCATTAAGCAATGGAACAGCCTGCCTCCCGAAGTGGTGGGTGCTCCATGAAAAGCTTTCATGAAAAGATTAGACAACCATTTGTCTGGGATGGTATGAGGATTCCTGGATTAGGCAGGGGGTTGGATAGAATATCACCAAGGTGCCTTCCTACTCTATGATTCTACGAATTATGCTTCAGTGAATATAGTTAGAAATAAGAGCTACAGCAAATGATCAGAGTGCATTTTCCAACTCCTTATTAGAGTATTCTCTTTGAAGAATTCATTTGGTCAGCTATGCCCTACTCCAATAAGTCATTCTATTTATGCTTCTTTTCCAACTGCTGAAAAATGTATACAGGTAATCCCCGGGTTAAGAAGAGGGATGACCCATAGTTAAGAACGGAGCCTATTGTAGCAAAATTCGAGTTACATATACAATGATTCGAGTTAAATACACAATGGTTTGAGTTCATTACACAATACTACTTATACAGTATTATGCAATAATACTGTTCCAGCTTATATACAAATTCAATTTAAGGACAGACCTTGGGAATGGAACTTTTCTTAAACTGGGGACTATCTGTAATCGGATATGTATGGGGGGAGCTGTTTATAGATACTTTTTTTTAAAAAAGATACTTTTCTGAAACTGTAGGGTTCTTCTGAACATTATATCTCCTCTTAGTTTCTTAATAGTTTCTTTCTTCACCTGACAATTATCAATTGTCTGAATATGCTATTCAAAGGAAGAATGGAATTTGTTGCATGTTAGTGGAAATGACTATTCCTGGAGCTTTATACAATATGATCACTTTCTTTAAAATGGTTTTTTCAGCTAATGGCTAGAAATGCTTGAGAAATAAAATCTTTACTAATTCTTATCTGAACTAATGTGCATTGCACCTCAGGACTAACTGATGGGTTGGAACAGTTCATCCTCAGAAAAGGAATCATATAGGATAATGGATGATGGGGGAGAAGGGGGAAGGAAAGAGAGGCAAGAAAGAGGGAGAAATGCTTTCAAAGTAAGAAATGTGTACTTTGTGAGAAACTATGCTCAACAACACAAATTTAGCTATGTCTTTATGTGTGTATTTTCTCAGAAGACACATATTTATACATGAACTTTGTGCATATTTATAAGTACATGCTAATACTGAGATGAAAGGAGATGAAGATATCCATTCATTTTACTGCCATAAATAGCTAGACTGTGGAGGTATATTCACATTTATGAATACAGATACCTTCAGTCTTATATTTAAGCCCTCTTCAGCTGGTCAGATTCTCTTCTGCAGAGACACACCTGCAATCTTTGACACATACTGCAGACAGTTGGCTTTACAAACCATCAAGGTATGATTTATTGCTCATTTTGCAGAGTTGGCTGTATACTGGAAGGCATAATCAATTCTGATTATTTGATGTACAGTTTGTTGTTTCATATAGCTATCTTCTAATTATCATAAGCCCTACTCAAGCAGTAATAACCAGCTATATTACACCATATTGAGATGACAGCTATGGTTGTTTAAAACTAACTAGTAAACTTTTGACCTAAATGAGATTTTAATCAATGATTTTTTTGGACCTTGTTTCACACTATCACTACTATAATACAATCTAGTCTACTTATTATTAATAGTGTTAGCCCTATACCAAGGGAGAGAGAGAATATTTATGAACATAAGAAAAGGTCTGCTGAAACAGAGTCTTGCTCTCCATGAAGGCAGTGGGACTACCATGAAGGGATTGTGGAGTCCTTGGGGTTCTCTGAGCTTGGTTGTTTTCTTGCAAACGTTTCGTTACCCGGCTAGGTAACATCTTCAGTGCTAAAATGGGATGGGGTTTGCTCTCCATGAAGGCAGTGGGACTACCATGAAGGGATTGTGGAGTCCTTGGGGTTCTCTGAGCTTGGTTGTTTTCTTGCAAACGTTTCGTTACCCGGCTAGGTAACATCTTCAGTGCTAAAATGGGATGGGGTTTGCTCTCCATGAAGGCAGTGGGACTACCATGAAGGGATTGTGGAGTCCTTGGGGTTCTCTGAGCTTGGTTGTTTTCTTGCAAACGTTTCGTTACCCGGCTAGGTAACATCTTCAGTGCTAGAATGGAATGGGGTTTGCTCTCTGTTTGGAATGGGGTTTGTCTCTCTGCCCTGCCAGTGTTGGTGGGGGTGGGGGTGGGGTTTTTGTTTTATTTTTTCCCTCTGGTAGTTCCTTGATTAGGGTATTTTTACTGCTGATTGTATGTCTGGTGATAATCTTGGTGTTAATCTCTGCTTATCTGGGTGATGATTCCTGGTGAGATGTTCTGCTCTTTTGTTTTCCTTTTTATTGTCTCTTTTGAATAGTATGTAGATGTTGTTTATCTCTATGTGCCTGTTGATGG